GGTATATGTCCCAAATTTTATATTTTTAGCTCTTCTAGAACATAATTACAACTTACATTTACGGTCACTCAGTTATCATAGGCTATATGTAGTAGATAAATATATTAAACATTGGAAATATTAAATATATTCTTGGTTCTTTCGGTAAAGTCACGTAGAAGGGAAATAATTAAATAATATTGATATAAAGCAATAAAACATTCTCACGACGTTTCGACTGCAACACAAGCAATCATCATCAGGTGTGATTTCACACCTGATGATGAATCCCTGCAGTCACGAAAGCTTTAAACCAAAATATTAAATGTTGGGAATCTGGTCCTGTACTTTAAACATCATCTTAAAATAATATTAAGCTTTTATTTAATGTCTTTATCCATTTCATACACATTTCAATATCGTAACACTCTATATTCTAGTCAATGTGAATATACTGCGAGTACGGGTAACATTCATTGTGAACCTGTGTCTACCCTTCAGCGATCACACATCAGTCAAGCAAGCTGTGCCCATGAATCCAACTCAGACTTCTGGGTTCATACTGCAACAACTGTGCCACCACACCCCCCCCTCCCTCCCTCTTATGAAATATTTTGGTCTGCCCAGTTTTTAATATATCTGAGAAGCATTTGTATATTTTGATAATTTGTTTTCCACATTCCTGCTGCATTTCTCGCAGCGAGCGTTGTGCAACACTTGGGGATTGACATAATGAGTACAGAACGGCCACTGCCTTTGCTACGTCACTGCACATTCTTAGGTTTTTTCGGTAAAGTCACGTAGGTAAAAACATTAAAAAGTTAAATAAAATAAAAATCACGACGTTTCGGAGGCAACACAAGCTTCCGTCTTCAGGTGGTACCGTCACAGCCACGACGGCTGTATCAAGTAAATGAGAGATTGTAGGAGCTACCACTCCGTTTATATAATGGTCGGAGAAGGTGGGGGTGCAAGGGCCGCATACTTTTTATTAATATGGTTACTGCACCTCGGAGCGCCGGTGAACATGTTTTGACTTTAAAACCATGTGGGCCGAGTCGTGGTGCAATGAACTCTGCGAACCGAGATAAATTCCCGGTCGTGGCTGACAACATCTTCTTCAATCAATCGAACAACCTTTACTTGCTGTGCCAATATCACCCTCAAAAAGAAAAGTAGCCATCGGTGTTCTTGGTTCTTTCGGTAAAGTCACGTAGAAGGGAAATAATAAAATAATAAAAATAAAACATAATAAAATAATTCTCACGACGTTTCGGCCACAACGCAAGCAGCCGTCCGCAGGTGAAAACCACGTCGAGAGAATTATTTTTATTATCTTTTATTTTTATTATTTTATTATTTCCCTTCTACGTGACTTTACCGAAAGAACCAAGAAGATGAATCCCTGCAGTCACGAAAGCTTTACATCGAAATTTAGCCATCAGTGCTTCGTTACGGCAGAATGGTAACAAGTACAGGGGGCGTGAAGCAACAGGAACGATGAAAGAAACCCGTCACGACCTCGGCGGTGAACACCGACTGAGCAAAGTAGTATGGTAACCGCGCATAAGATAAAGTGCAACCGCGCAAGACGAATAGCATAAGAAAAGTAAGTAGTAGATAAAACAAATAATAAGGAAATAAACCTCCCCCCCCCCCTTTTCTTATTTAATTTTAGATTTTATGGTAAGACAATATTCGTATATCGCTGATGCTGATGTAGAGCAACAATTACAACTTCACATTGAGGTGGTCGGCAGTGGTTGTATTGTATCGGCGTGTGAAGATGTCATCTCTCGTATTTGTGAATTGGCCGTTGAGCCGTTATGCATTCCGTGGTCCGTTCAGGGTAACCACAGTCGCATGAACGGGCAGTATATATATGTTTTAATCATCAGTGGCAAGTCATACCTGAATTGATCCTCGGCCCACCCCTCTTCTCAACATCTTTCACTAACTAGTGTGGTGAAACATTGTCAAAAAACCCACACAGGGGGGCACTTCATTCACCAACGGACTGACAAAAAGCTGTATTCGTTTAAAGATCACTCTTTCACTGTCCTTTCTGGAAGCATTTATTGTTTATACACAACGCAGCCCCTGCTTTTACGTACAATTGGTGTAACTAAAACTGAATTTGTTATTTTAACTGTTTCAATGGGGACATTTTTAACCGCACCGGCCAGCCATAACAGGATGTAGGCTTCACCTGCTCTACACCGTAACGTTGAAATAAGAAGGATATAGTGGCTCGACAATTGGCTTTTATTCAAATCTGGTGTTTGCTCTGTGGCGAATGAATGGGCCGAAGAATAAGCCAATCTCGAGCGAGCACCAGGAGTAGAAGCAGCAGCAACAGCAGCACCTGCCGCACAGATTCTCCGACGTAAATTGAGGTTTGTTCAGGTGAAGTGATGACTTAGAATGGCGTATTCTCTCCTGACACGTCAGTCAGGTATTTACCCCCACCCTCTCCTGTCTCTCTCTGTCTGCGTTTTTTTTCCAGACCCACTCCACTCCTCAGTGTGCACTCACGCATAACCTGGGCTCACCTGTATCGCCTCTGTTGACATTTCAATACTGTTGCCTGGCGGGCAAACAGTGCCAGTGAAAAAGCAACGATTTGCAGCGCCTGTGACGAAGCGTTCGTTGTTCTCCGGGCGGTCGCTCCGCCTCGCGTGAGCCACGACCAGCAGCCCCCCCCCGCCACCCCCCCCCCCCCCTTGTGAATTCAGTACACCCGTCGTAGTGGTGCAGTGGAGTTGTTTTATTGTTGGAATATTGCATTGCGCTAAGTGGCCCGCAGCACAAAACACGCTGCCACAGCCAGGCGGTTCGTATTGTGTGCGGTGTTTGCCTTCTATTTTTCCTAAAAGCAGACATGCCGCGCCTATACATTGTATTACCGCCAAAGAATACAATGTATAGGAACGCTGTGCTATGTGCGGATGCTGCCGCGGTGGAGATGGTGAGCAGCGCGCACCGGACTTGCGGCCTAGAGGTCTCCGGTTTGACTCCATCCTCCGGCGCGGCATTTGAAACAATTGGCAAGTTTTTTTTTCAAATAATATATATTGCTCCCTCCAACTCTGTCCGGCCAGGCGTACAAATGGACCTCTGGCCAACATGGACGAGTCGGCCAAATGTCGTCTATGAGGGCTCTCTCCATAAAGCTCCCTCCAGTGGAGGCCAGACGTCGCAAACGGGTTTTGATTCCTTACCCGTAACCGTACCTGGCCGCACCAGGGTCGCAAATGGGTACCCGTACCCAGCCAGGTACGGGTACCCGTACCCTACCCGAAATGAGTGACAAACGGTTACTCACCAGTGACTCACGGCCTACCCGTACCCGTACCTGGCCGGGTACGGGTAGCCGGGTATCAGGTAGGGTACGGGTATCGGGTACCCGGTTGCGACCTCTGGTGGAGGCCCGTCCACTAGCAGTGGCGTGAGTTCGCAATTGCAGGGACGCGCCTTTACCTGCGCCGGCTGTGCGGGTCTTGGTCGATCGCACCGTTTGTTGCAATGCTTCTTGTGCCGTTGCCTTGTTTTGAGTTCACATTCATGGCGTTACACGGGCAGTGGGGATGTGGTCCTCTTGGGGATTAATAGATAACGAAAACTTTTTTTAACCTTGGTGTCGATGGTGTGCTTACAAATAGTGTCACGTGTGTCGTGACGTAATCACAATGTATATGCACAGCCCCAGAGTCAAACTACTTCTGCATGAGGGCTTCACGGCACTGTTGTCGGTGCTATTTTACCATACTTCACCGCGCTGTGCAGTGTGGGTTGGATGTATGTTAAACTTCTATTGTACCATACGTAGCCAACCGTGCTAATTGGAGGTGCGGGAGAAAGTTAAGTTGGGTGAGGGGGGGATAGATGTGGGGCATATAATTAGAGTACAACATAGATGTAGAGTACAACTTGTGAGATCTGACGGAGGTCCCTCTGACCATTTCCTCAAGCTGGTCTCTCAATCTTGTTTTCTGGCATCTTGAGGCATATTTGTGTTTAATTGCTTAACAACAACAAAAAACTGAAACTATCATTTCATAAGGTGATGACAAATTGTTTACTTGCAAAAATTAGTTTCAGGGCTTTCTTAGAAAGCAAAGCATGACGAATCTTCTTCTTGATTCTTTCGGTAAAGTCACGTAGAATGAAAATAATAAAATAATAAAAATAAAACATAATAAAATAATATTATTTTATTATGTTTTATTATTTCCATTCTATGTGACTTTACCGAAATAACAAAGAAGATGAATCCCTGCAGTCACGAAAGCTTTAAATCGAAATTCATGACGAATCTTTCATTTTATGCATTTTGGATGCATTATATTTAATAAAAAAACAAATAATGTTTCACATGTTGCCACATTTCATTATTGCAGTCTGGTGCCACTTGAGGGTTGCCTCGTATCTGGATCTGACCCGGACAGTCTGGCAAATGGCACCTGTGTTCCGGGTGGCAGCATGGATCGATTCGCACCGAGGTGTGGTACCGGCTTTGCCGTGTTGAACTTTCTCCCAGTTCAACCCGCAGGTTTGATAACAAAGCCCGTGCCGAGACGTCAGTCCGGCTCTTTGGTTTACAGTGAGGAAAAGGCAGCAACCGTATTCCACGTACAGTAGAGTATATGCACAGCCGGTATGCCGATTATTTATATGGAAAGGAAATGGATTTGAAACATGCCTTTTATTTATTTCCCATTGTTTCGCGTTTTTTTTGTTGGTTAAAAACGGCCCCGCGTGACCCCGCGCGAGCCAGACAAGGGGCACGACGACATGGGGTGGGGGGGTAAGGTCGGCTGGGTTCATTCCGTGCTCATTCGCGGGGCCTCCGTGCGTGTGTGCGTGCGTGCGCCATGTGGTGGAGGGTTGGGGGCGGTTTGGGGCTGGTTTGGATGGTGGGAGGATGGGGGGGGGTGGCGGGGCGGGGGGATGTCTCAACCGCAAGCAAAAGTGGTTCGTCAGGCCTCTCGTTCCGCGATGTCACTTGGTGTGCGTGCACGAGCGGCGGCGGCGGTGGTGGTGGAGAGCGGCAAGAGGGGAGGTCCTGCCAGCCATCCAGCCAGCCCGTGTCAGAACGTCTTCCCGGCAGGGACAGGTCAAGCGCGCTCGGGTTGGAACGGGGCAAGGGCCAGGTGCCCGCGGCGCGAGCCGAGGTCCTCCTGTCGGCAACCGGCGGAGTCGTCGAGCGGCGCGTGTCGCGACGCAAGCCGCACGGCTTGTTGCCATTACTGCCCAGAACTGACCTGGCCGTCACTTTGACGGCTTAATTCAAGGTGAGGGCGAGCGGAGTGAGTGAGTGAGTGAGCCCGTGCGTGCTTGTTGTGTGTGTGCGCCTCGGGTGGATTTTTTTTAAGTTCCTAACAGCCGGCGGATTTATCCCCAGAATTCGCACGAATTTTTCGCTGGTTGTTTTTTTACTCGCATAAACAACGTCCGCCAAAAACGCCGTTGCCAACAACTTGCCAAATTAGCACGTACAACTTGTTCGGGGTTAATTCTGTGTGAGTGCGTAAATACAGCCGAGCGACTCATCAGTACAATTTTACAGCTTGTTTCCCCTTTCACGGAGCGCGCACGACAATCACGTCATGCTTGTTAACGTAATTGGGGAAGAAGGAGTGATAAAAGCCCCTTCCCAGGACGAGAGGAGGGCCTGTGGTTGGTAGCGGCGGCAGCGGCGCAGGAGAATCAAATTGTCCGCTCGGATGAGGACGGGAGACGGGGCGGGGAGAGAAGCCACCCCTCCTCCTGGCCGCCCCCCCCTGGCCTCGCTCTCTCGGGGTGTGCACGCGTTGCGTCTCGCCGCTCGTAGCTCCACGGCTGCCATCTCCCTCCCGAGGTATTAAAAGAAAAGGGCCGGGACGTAAACACGCGTGGGAAGATAGACGAAGAATATCCTCACAGTACTGCTGGAAGGAGGGAATAACGGCACTTGCATTGCTCAAGTTGGTGTGTCATCGCACGGCTGACAGAATCCAGGTACTTTTAATGTTCTCGGAAGACTTCACAGAATTCCCAGGACAACGGCTGCCTTAAAGAGAGGATGATGCTGGGAATGCCAGGACAGGTGGCAATGCTATGCCGCTAAAAGCCGTGCCAGTTGCTGTGCCGTACCGGGGAGTGGTGGGGGCCCAGGAGAGAGAAGTGAAAGTGCCGAGTGTGCCCACCCAAGCGCATGGCAACGCGATGCGGAGGGCCGTGCCCGTTTCCCATGGTGGGTTTTTGTTGTTGTTTCTTGGTGGTGTGCGTTCGCAAAAGAAGTGTAGCGCGCTTGATTGGTGTTGTTTCTCACGGAGAGCGCTGCGCGAAAGAAACCGTCGCGTTTTCTTCTTGTTGCGGCGCCGTGTTGTTATACGAGTGCGATCCCTCCAAAACGAATGCGCTACATTTGAAATATTCGTGGTCGCTCCGTGTCGGTGTTTAAGCTGGAGGCCGACAAACCGAGTTTGGCATCGTCGTTTAGTCTTCCGAGTGTTCAAGCAGCAGCAGCAGCTCTTGTGTGAGAGCAGTTCTTCGGTGAGAGTCAGATGTTCCACGGAACGAGAGACACCTTAAGTAAGAAGGTGGCACGGTCCGAATAATCTTGACCTCACCTGGCTTTACCTTCCTGAGTAAAACCGTGCAAAAACCTTCAAATTATTACTGTACTTCCTTTTTTCTTCTCTCCATTGTTTTCGAAATACCTCCGGCACCTTAAGACTGCTCGTTACTGTGTGTAAAAAAGCAGGTTCTTGCTGTGAAAGCACGCGTGCGTGCGCGTATGTGTGTGGTGTGTGTGTGGTGTGTAACTATGCAGCATGCACAGTGAAACGCGCATGAACCTCATGCCCTTTATGAGGGGTCTCAATTAGTGTACCTGCAGGCTTGGCACGGTTTTCTGGTCTGTCTGGTTAGCCTTGCCGCTCACTCACACCACCCCCTGGCTCCCTGTTGGGGGGTGGGAGGGGTAGGGGGCAAGTACCCAGGCACAACGGTGCAGACTGTGCGAGAACAGTGGCTTAATACACGGAGGTGTTGTTTTAACGTGCATTGTGCCACCGTGGAGCAACATCGCCTTATTGTGATACGTGTCTCATGTCACGTGGAATTAGAGGAGTCGTGACCGCCTCTGCGTGTGCGCGTCTGAGCTCGTGCACGTGCCGCGCGCGACCCCACAAATGACACTCGCTATGGAGAACGACAGAACGTGAAGCCCGGCTTGACCCCCACCCCCCCACACACCCCGCGTACGCCGTGTGGAATGAATTGTTAATTGATCAGTGTGGCTTTGGTGGGATGATCTACTCCTGAGCCTCGGCTAGATTGGGCGCCATCTGGTATTTATCTACCAACTCTGAACTGGGGGTTGTGTGTCCCCCTCCCCTCGTGTCCCTTGCAATTAGGGACGATTCGTTCCGATCTGCTCCGAGAAAACCTGGCACCGCCGCCGCTGCCGCCACCGCGCAGGTCCGAGCGCGATGAGCTCGCAGCCGCAGCCGCAGCAGCAGCAGAGATTCCCTTTCCGCCTTGGGCACCTGAGTGCCTCGCTGCTGTTAACACAGCACGTCGCACTAAATAACCCAATATGCAGCCTGGCAACAAGAGCACTGGAGGGCCTTGCGCACAACACAGTGTGTGGGCGCGCGCACACACACACGCACATACACGCACACACGTGTATTTGTGTCGCGCATTTGTGCCTGAACCCGGCGACCTGAGTTTTTTTTGGCTTGCAGCATTTCGCGCAAAATAGCGCAATATGCAGCTCAAAACAACAACAAGAAGGAAACACTGGAGGGTCTTGCGTAGTAAACATTGTTTGCGTGGGTGTGTGTGCACGTGGTGCATTTGCATCTGCTTGTGGTAGTTGGGTGGACGTAGGGGATGCTGCCATCGCCCCAGGAGTAAAAGCACACACGTGCCTGGGCCTCGTGGAGAACTGATTATCCAGCAGTGGAGTGAGAATGGCTGCTGCTGATTCTAATGCTGCTGCTGATGCTGCCCGTGACATATCTTCAGACGTGGACCCTGTGACTGCCCAAAGTATTCTGATCAGCTGATGTTTTCCCAAAAGAGAACGCATTGGTCTGCTTGAGAGACTGCAATTCAGAAAATACATTGTTCTCATAATGTTTCTCTTCCAAATTGCAAATGTGCACGCTAAAGCCTTACTTGCAAGCAGGCTGTTTAACGCTTTAGCTTAATGTTCCTGGAGAAATTATCTTACAAATGCCAAACTCAAATTAGTTTGCGTAAATGGATTTGATTAAGCGAGGCCCTGTCTGTTCAGGAAGCCTTTTTCGGCTTTCACACTACATACAATTCTCACGCGTGTACGACTATAGAACTGTGCTGGGATGGTGAGAACGCTGCTTTCAATCAATTCCTGGCCACACACAATACACATGTAAATTGGCATCTGTCTAATTGAGATTAAAGTAAAAAAAGAAATCCACCCATTCTCAAATCCACCAATGGATGAAGGTCTCCTCTCCATGTCATGCCGGTCATGAGTCTTGTTTTCTATATTTACCATGGTGGTCAGTACCAGTTGGTGTAGATAGAGACTGTAAAACCGGTTCTAATATCACTTATCACTGACATCAGCCATGGGCGGGAATCGAACTCGGGATGCAGGGTTCTTTGTGCAGTACGCTAACCACTGTGCCACGGCTCATCTCCTGATCTACTCAGCCTAAAACGAATAGATCATGGTTCGTCAGAGCTGGAGAGACAAAGTTAGTCAGGCACAGAGCTGACCACACGACCCCCACTGTGTCAGTGTACTTATTCAGTACCCACGATCAGAATGTATTAAGTATGCCCAGCAGTCTACAGGGTTTAATAAGGCGTTGCTGACAAACATATCACTGGGTTTAACACGAAGTTCCATAAAAACAGGCCTTTGGGAATCCATTGTTGGATGAAGGCCTCCCCATACACACTGTGTCGTTCATGAGGGTTATTTTACCATCAAGTTTATTTTTGTTTAACAAGTTGAGAACTCAAGAGACCAATACAGTCTCGTCGGTTTTTCGGTAAAGTCACGTAGGTAAAAAAATTAAAATAAAATTAATAGAAGTAATAATAGAAATCAAATAATAAACCACGACATTTCGGAGGAAACACAAGTCTCCGTCATAAGGTGTGACCGTCACAGCTAAAATTACTGCATCCAGTAAACATATCACTGGGTCCAGTAATTTTAGCTTAAACATATCACTGGGTCCAGTAATTTTAGCTGTGACGATCCCACCTGATGACGGAGACTTGTGTGCCTCCGAAACGTCGTGATTAATTATTTTATTTATATTATTACTTTTATTATTTTTATTTTTTTACCTACGTGACTTTACCGAAAAAAGCCTAAGTCACGAAAGGTTGATTTTCGAACTTGGCAAATTTTTACCCATGATCCCAACGCGCAATGGGCAACTATTGCGAACGACGCCATGGGTTATTGGTTTTTAATGCTTTCATTATATTCGAACAAGAGCCCGAAACAGAGCATAAACCGCGACGTACGAAGAGGCGCATAGAAACTCCGCAGGTAAAGAAAAATCCAAAATCTATGCGCCTGTACAATCAACGGAATGGACGGGGGGTGGGGGGGGGGGGAAATTGGGCTCACTGTCTCACCCAGGTGGGGACCGCGCGTGGGAACATGGACTTAAATTTTATATTCGCTGGGGGGATCTTTAATGTCCACCGTGGCGCCGATGGCACGTGGTATTATTACGGTGAATGCACACCGGCATTAGTAACCAGGGCGGCCACTGGAATTGAACCGTGAACCTTTGCGACGAGCGGCGAACGTCACCGGCCATACTTCAACCGTGCCGATCGGTGCGGGTCGGTGAAATCGGGGGACGTGGTCGTGGGAGCATATAAGTGCAGTAGAACAACCGATTTTGCTGTACTGCTCACTTGACTTGCTGCCCACCACGTAGCCCCAAAGTCTATAGCAACCTGTGTTGCGTGGTTGGCGCTATCCATATCCAGCTGAACCCCGCCCGGCTAGCTTCCGCCATCTGACGAGACCTGGCGCATTCCAGCCGATTTGGTCATGGGCGAAGTGATGTGCAATGCTTTTACATTCACGCGCCGCTGGGCGGTATCAATATACATAGAGGTACGGACATAGCTTCAGCCTGTGTGGTCCTTACCTCTTTGCAAAATAAACATTGCACACGCCCATAGATCAGCCATGTGTCGTGGCACTTGCCCGTAATTCCAGCCCTTTGGGGAGGCAAACGGGTTGGTGGATCACGTAGAGATTCGCGAGGAGGCCAGGAGATCACGGTCACAACAAATGGGTTGATGAAGCCATCCGAATATTTGACAGCCCACGGACACGTCTGCATACTTACCAACTCGCCCTCCCCACTGATGTAGGTGGCAGGCTCCCGGTCTGTAAACCCTTTTACTGCATACCGATTTTCAAAGCAACAAAAAATGACATCCACATTTTTTTTATTTTTCAGAAAAATGTATGAAGTGGTGTGATTAGCTCTGAAAATCGATATGCGGTAAAAGGGTTTGAAAATTGGCAGCCTGCCGCAATCCTGATTGGGGATAGACTCAGCCCATCATCCATCCAGGGGTCTATAAAATAAGTACCACTTTGTGGAGAAGTCAACAGTGGTTCTCCTATGGATGGCCTTGCCCCCGTCATGGGAATGCGAATTTCCCACCACTGGCTCTGGGTTGTGAACAGGAGACGAGCGTAGCCTTGATATTCTCGTCTGAAGTGGGACATCACTTTCACTTTGGTACGCACGCATCTCTGCCAACCAATTATCGTTATACCCTCTTAATGCATCGGGATTTTCTTTGAGTACTCCTGGCTAAAACTTGCGAATGCATGTCTCTCCTGAATACGAGTCTTGAGGCTTTAGTGAGCCTTTCCTGCAGGAATAATCCACGTTATTATACTTTCCAATGTGCCATGCGAATCACACTTCAACCATCATCGGGATGATGGGTGTAGGATGTTCACTGCAGTTACGATGGAGTATAAACTGCCCCAGAGATAGAAGCAACCCGCTTAACGACTTCTTGTCGTTAGTAGCGAGCCTTAACGAGTACCTAAGCCGCATGGTAAATGATTAAAGTTGCACCACATACGGGAGAATCGTATCACGTGAGACAATGCGCGCAATATGGATCATTTAGTACGGATAAGAAAGGAACTCCGTGTGCAAGCACTGCCATTGGTCATCCATCCAGGTCTGCAGTCCTCATCATTAAATAATTAGAGATTCGCAATGAAAAATAAACATTGTGCCATGTTCACTAAAGAGTCAAAACGGAGGCAAGAGGCCAAATATTATCCCCCCACTTAAAGTGAATTTAGGCGTGCCACTTGCCAGTGCCTGATTGTCTAAGGCTCTTGCCGCATATGAATTTGTCAATTCTTAAGTTCGCGTTAACTCATCTAATTTCGGCTCTGCCATGTGTAATGCTCCTGCATGGCTTGGTGCTCTTTTAAAGGGGATACAACATCCCCTTTTAAAAGGCCGGGGGGAAATCCATTTAGAACAAGCAAAAAAAAATGTGTGTGTGCTTTGGCAGAAGCTCGCTTGAGAGCCGTTTTATTCTGTGCGGAGAAATGAAACGGTTTAGCGCCACCACCACGCTCTTGCTCGTTAAGCAGGGACGCATTAGCCGAGGAACCTGGCGAGCCTCGGTGTCTGTCGGCCGTGATCGCGAGCCCGCAGTCGTCCCGTCTGCGTTCTCTCGCCGCTCGTCATTCTTAGCCCCCCGGGCCGGAGCCAGAGAGGACGACGCCGCGTTGATTAAAATGAGCCCACGAGGCACACGGAGGCTTGGGGAAGGGGCGGGGGTTGCCTCAATTCCAACATGAAGTAAAAAAATTAATTACATTTGGTCGAACTAAATTGATAAGGCGCAGATATATCCTCGTTTTTTTTTAAACAGCTGAGGGTAAAATATATTAATGGGATGATCTAATTATTTAAAGACACTGTTCCGCCAGCAACGCGGCTATACTTGTGGGGGAACAACAATGAAGGGACTGCAGTGGCAGTCGTATACCATACGTGTACGGTCATTTTGTCGTCAATCCACTGCTGGATGAGAGCCCTTTCACCACGCTCGTGTAGTTTGTGGGGCTTGTGTGACCGTACTTCGCCACGTTCGGCAGCGTCGGTTGGTCAAGGCACCAGTGGTAGATGAATGTAATATTTAAAAAAAAAACTTGCCACATTTATCACAAACACAGAAAAAGTGTACTATCAGCTGACATTTCAGGAATTGGGTCTTCTCAACAGCAGCCTGATTCTACATGTACATTCACTTTACAAGCACTGTGTACATGTATACATACATTTATGTATTTAATCCACTTAGATACACACAGGCACAATAAATATAAATCATATACATCAGTATTGGTTAAAAGCGATTTTGCACGGGCATTTAGTATCAAACGAGGAAGCACATTAATCAGTGTTTCAAGGAAATTTGTCTTTATGATGAAGGTGGAGGAAAAATGCAAATTGAAGGTTTAATTATTAATCGCAAGACTTGGGCACTTTTAACCCATTCCTTTCTGCTGTGCGGGTGGCAGGACTGGACCGTGACTGAAGAGTGCCTTTTTGGGGGTCGGAGGTCAGCTTGGGGTGCGCGGCAGCTCTCATCTTCCTCCTCCTCCTCTGGGCATCGCATGGACGCCACTCGCCAGCAGATCCGTGGCCTCGCCCGCTGACGCCAGGGGTGAAAGCACCGAGACCCTGGGGAGAGAGCGAGAGAGCCCCTCTCACTCTCCTGGAGCCCGCGGAGGCAACGCTACCGTGGAAGATGAAGGGTGGATTTGTTTTGGCTTCAATCTCGCAAACTCGGGAAACCGGAACGACTGCCGTGATCATCGCAAGATCTTTTTGCGCGTGCTCGTAATTAGGAATGCAAATCTACCGTGTCAGAAGACCCTGACTTGAAGCTGAACATAAAAACCGGGATATTGTTCTTCGGTTTGACTTGTGCTAAGGCTCAGTGGGTTCAATGTTTTTTTTTCCACTTGTGTTGGGAATGCCAACGACTGTTTGGCTGTGAAGCATAGCTGAGCAAACCGAATCCAGCAGCATTACTGCGCCCTACTTCGTTGAACCTTCACTGTGCTTCGCTCTGCTCTTCCGTGGCCACGGTCGTGGCTTAGGACGGTGGCTGCTGGCACGCGGTCGCTGCTGCAGCTCACCCCCCCGCTCGGAAACGTCGCGTTGCAATGATACAAACCAAGCGACGGGACGCGCAGCATTCGCGCGGCAGTGCGCGGTGAACCGTCCCGGCAGACAGTGCATGGGACTCGCAACCGCCGTCCGTCGCCCTCCTCCGACGATGCTACCTGCGCCGCTGACGCCGAGTCCAGAAGTTCCGCGGAGGCAAGCGGGGGGCAGCGCCCCACGCCCTTCCCCGTGCTAGCGTCGCGCAGCGTTCGGACCATCAATGACCACATCGGAGGCGCGACGGGGCTGCGAATTTCGCTGAGGGAGCGTGTTCGACGCCGTGGGGATATGCGGGCGAGCGCGTGAGGACGCTCGCGCGCTCGCGTGCTCGCGTGCGTGAAGCGGACCCGACCCGGTCGCCGGCCGCGGTGACCATGGCCAGCAGCAGCAGCCTTAGCAACGGCGGTGGCGGCGCCGGCGGAGGAGGAGGCTTCGTCGGGCCGAATGGTGCCAGCGGAGGGTTTCCCATGCCTGTGCCGTACCCCTTCCTCTTCCCGGCGAGTTTCCCCGGATCGCTCGCGGGACACTACCGGCAGCAGCAGCACCAGCAGTACCAGCAGCACCAGCAGCACCAGCAGCACCAGCAGCAGCACCAGCAGCAGCTGCACCAGCAGCAGCGACTCCAGCAGCAGCAGCAGCAACGACTCCAACAGCACCACCTGCGCAGTCCGCATCCGCCCACTAGCCTTGCCCCCGTGCTGCTGCCGCCTCCTCCACTGCCCATGGGATGTGGTGGGAGCTCTTCGCCCAGCAGTGAGTAATACACGGTATTCGCACAGTGGTATTTAAGCCGTTGTAGTATTGTTGTTGTTGTTAATGAGGGTCTGCTTTGATTCCTGTACTTCAGTGTTTCTCAAACTTGTTTGTCCCGCGAACACCAGACAGCCTCCCCACTCCTGGTGGCAAAACGCATTCACTATAAATACCAGTCATAGAAAATTATTCATATTACCGGAACATTTTTTTTTCTTCTTAAACGCAGCTATAATGGGTTTCCTTTTAGGTGGTGGCATTTAATTAGGGTAGTTTACCTAACTTAATTTATTATCAATAAAAAAAATCATGAGTAAAATCAACCAGCATTTGCATCACAGCCTCGCAGACCACCTGGAGGACCATCGCAGACCACCCGGTGGTACCGGGAACCACACTCTGAGAACCGCTACTGCAGTTAAACCTTTGTGGGGTGTTGTTACTAAAGCATCAGCCATGGTCTGCCACCAACTGGATGAAGGCCCTGAGCCTCTCAGCGTGATCTCAATCGTGAATCACCATTTCCTGAAGTTTATTTCATCTGCCATACAATGGATGTAAAAAAAAAACTGTGGTGCACAGGCAATGCTGCCATTGTATATTTATAAAGAAAACCCACAAAAAATTGCTCAATGCAACTGTGTGGCTTGAAAAGGAAAATATATCTATCAGGAAACGTTGTATTCGTCATAGCACATGACACCTCGTGCTATGAAGTAGGATCATTGCCCGAAAAAGTCGTCTCTCGTATTTTTTTATTTTATGGCAGCGTTAGTGACGAGCATGAAGTGGCTTCGTGTGTTGTGGAGAAGGCCCATTGCCTGAAACGTCATTTATCATATTTTTCCTTTGAAGGCCACAGTGCTGTTTACGAACGTGTTGATTTTTTTTGTTGGATAAGTGAGCTTCTGCATCGCTGTCAATTGCAGCATCACCAAACGGTTTCTACCATTGTATAAATGGAGGGGTAGGGAACGATCTGCCTTGTGTGTCTTTTTGGGGGAGATTTGTGACACTGCAGATGTTAATATGGAAGACAAGGTAGTATCTCTTGCATGGAGGAGCTGTAGCCGAGTGGACGAGGACATGGGGCGAATATCGGGGTGCCATGGTGGTGAGATGTTAACTAGTTTGTCTGGCATACAGGAGGTTTGTTCGATCCCGACACTGACGCTTGTATATTTGGACTTTGCATGTTCTCTCCCACGTGTATATTTCACCGATAAGCAACTTCGTTAAGCTTTCATTTGTGACCAAGTTCCTTCTGAAAAAGAGCTATGTAACTCAGTGGGCCTTACCTGGTAAAATAAAAAATAGTTTAGTTTTAGTTTTTTAGGATCGGTTTAACATTCAAGCGGCGTGGCCGTCAATCCCAGCCTCTCATTATTTTATTTCCCCCACCCACCTTCCCCTGGCTACAGCGTCTGTTCCCTAAGCAACTATTTTTAACTTAAGTAATGTACAAACCATTGCATTATTAATGCAATATTAATGCAAGTATATGCATTATTAATGTACCGTATGTGTTTGTTTTAACGGTGTATCGTGTGAATACAAACTTTTTCGTGTTTTTTAAATTATGTCGCTTGGCTTCTGCTGCAGCCCACAGGGAATTTTAGTGGGGGGCTAATGTAACGTTTCGTCCCCCCCCCCGCTAAGAGGCGGGGGGGGGGGGGGTTAAAAGCCCCCTTCTTTCTGCCCCCCACCTGCCCCCCTCCCCTCCCCTCCCCCTTTAAAAGTCGTGTCAATTGTGCCATGATGTGAGAAGAGAATTTCCTAAAATTTGGTTAGGGGCCATCCATTTAGTACGTACGCATGGAGGGGGGAGAGGTTAACCCAAATGCGTATGCTTGCATATGGGGGGTCTACTGACAATGTACGTACCCATAGGAAATAGGGGGGGGGGGCTGAAACCTCAGTAATAATTTGTCTACATTGGCCTTCAAATGAGCCACAGTTCAGTTTCTTCAGCTGTCAGACAAGTACTACCGGGAGAAGTGGGACTGTGGGAGAGGTGTCACTTGTGTGCCACCGTGCCCCTGACTGCAGCTATCACGCAGCTCAGCAGTGAGTCTGACAGAGTGTGGCGGCCTGCCCCATGGATTACACATCCTGCAATCTGGCCTCACTGCAGACTGCTGCTGACTCAAGATTTTAGCTGCCGCAGTGCTCTCTGTTCGTGCTGCTGCTGCTGCTGCCCGGACTTCAGTACTAACACTCGTCTGTACATCGGTCTACTGTTGCAGCAGATGTTCAGTCGACGCACTTTATATATAAAGACTAGTTCACCGAGTTTTTAGCGTGTTTTTAAGATCGTAATAGACGTGTTTTTTAATAACCAGTCAGGATGGATAACACGGTCAAGTATAATAACTGTTTGTACAAAGCTGTGTGTAAAGCTAGGCCGCAAGCTAGTAAACAAGAACAACAAAAATAAACCAGTCGTATTCTTTGGGTCTTTTGGTAAAGTCACGTAGAACAAAAAATTATTAACAAAAAACTACGGACGTTTCGATCGCAACACGAGCAATCGTCATCAGGAGAAAAAGAGAGGGGAAGCTGCTGAGGCAGGCTGTTTGAAAGGTTTTCAATGGGTGTAGCCCAAGGGTCATAGACGAAGTGGGCGGGGCTAGTGATGTTAAAGTGAGAAATTTGCATGTCAATGTAAGATCGGAGAGCTACCTCCACGACGAGGGCACGGAGGTGGCCATTGTAATGTGAGAGATTAGCATGTCAATGTAAGATCGCATGCGGAGGTGGCCATTGCGTCGTGAGAGATTAGCATGTCAATGTAAGATCGCATGCGGAGGTGGCCATTGTGTCGTGAGAGATTAGCATGTCAATGTAAGATCGCATGCGGAGGTGGCCATTGTATTGTGAGAGATTAGCTGGTCAATGTAAGATTGCATGCAGAGGTGGCCATTGCGTCGTGAGAGATTAGCATGTCAATGTAAGATCGCATGCGGTGGTGGCCATTGTAATGTGAGAGATTAGCATGTCAATGTAAGATCGCATGCGGAGGTGGCCATTGCATCGTGAGAGATTAGCATGTCAATGTAAGATCGCATGCGGAGGTGGCCATTGAGTCGTGAGAGATTAGCTGGTCAATGTAAGATCGCATGCGGAGGTGGCCATTGTATTGTGAGAGTTTAGTATGTCAATGTAAGATCGCATGCGGAGGTGGCCATTGCGTCGTGAGAGATTAGCATGTCAATGTAAGATCGCATGCGGTGGTGGCCATTGTAATGTGAGAGATTAGCATGTCAGTAAGCATGTAAGATCGCAGCGCCACCGCCACATGGAGGATATGATCGACAGCGGCTGTGTGACATTGAACCTGTTTAATGTAAAATCGGAGAGTCGAAAATAACCACTAACATCAGAAGGTAGGATGGAAACATCACAGCCAGTTATGACTTAATCTGGTTAATAACGTCCTTCCAATGATTGCTCAGTTTGTACCCATCTTCTCGGTTGAAATTGTGTCTCTGTCTATATATCTGGATGGCTTCATGAACGAATCTTTGTTGATAGCCAGTGGGTTTGCAGAGTACCTTCGTCTTAGAGAAATCAATTTCGTGTGAGCCCACCGCATTACAACAATGATCATCCACGGCCGAGGTATTGGTCCTACCGTGTTTCAGATCTGCCTTATGTTCACGAACACGGTCCGAGACATATCGCTTAGTTTCCCTAATGTAACTACTGCTGCAGACACAGCTTGGTTTGTATTCGCTGAGGAATTGCATGTCAGGGGTCACATCCTACCCCCTTTTTTCTCCTGATGACGATTGCTTGTGTTTCGATCGAAGCGTCGTAGTTCTACCGAAAGACCCAAAGAAAATGAATTCCTGCAGTCACAAAAACTTTAAGTCAAGATAGAAACTAATCGGTTATGGGACAAAATAAAGTGGGATTAAATTCCTATAATATGTCACCTGTTCGACTGCGTTCAGTCGGCGTTTGAACCTAGCAGACACCAGACACACCTTTTAAAGGTACGCAACTTAATTATTTAATGCAGCCGGCGGTGGACTATCTGTTTGCTTAAACACTTTAATATTATTAATCCTTGAGCGTTTCTGCGTGGATTGAATATCGGCCGTTCTATAGCATTCGGGGGGGGGGGGGGGTCAAGATTTGACAGATTTTTGCGTACCTACTAAATGGATGGCCCCTTACATTTCTGTTCGCTGTAGTCAGTGTGGTGTTGCAGGTCTCCCTTTACAAAAACGGTGATAGTAAATCAACGTGGGATCTCTCATTGGTTTCCTGAACAAGACACTGAATTGGAGCAATGTGGAGATGGGTGCTGATTTTTGAACACTCTTGCACGGATGAGACCGGAATGTGTTGACACACTGTAACTCCGACCATTGCCTGTGACCAACTCTCCCAGAATGCACTCGGATCTCATCGGATCTCAAATGATAAGCCGGATTTTGAACCTTGCCACTGGATTGGTAACCCCCCATCGATATATATCTAAATGAACTCAGGCCTCCCGTAATGCACGTTATTTCTGTGCGGCCACCCCCACTCTGAATCTCTCCCCTTTCCCCCACCCACTGAAAACAGACACTGCTCCGTGCAGATTCGAGGCCCTGATGTAGCTTCTTTCTCCCCTATCCTCTTCTTTCCTGACCCCTTGCTCCCATTTTTCTATTCCCTTTCCATCCTCTTACCCCTTTGTTTCCCATAATTTATCCTCTCTCGTTCCTTTCTCTGTGCCCGTCCATTACATCCTTGACTCTACTCCACTTCCTGCAGTGTGTCACAGGTACCAACGTTGGTAGTGCTTAACAGCAGCTGTTATAGACAGCAAGACTCCACTGCCAGTAGAGGGCTAAGAAAGTCAAGTCCATTGTCGTGCATGTGCTCCAACATTCGTGCTTGCCCGCCTTCACCAACACACACTCACCGGCATTGTGAAGCATGGTCAGATAATCCCCATGATCCGTACTGTGTGGGGAAGCTCTCTCATCCAGCAGGATTTACAA